ATCAGGGCTGATTGGGAGGAGAGTGAATGCACTATTACACAGGTCTGTAAGGCCTGACATTTGGGTCTTTGCCATTAGTCTAATGCTTGGCAGGACATACAGGGTGCTCACAAGACAGACTAAGAAATAGTCAGTTTGAATTCTGGATGGATGTCCTTCTGGAAGCGGCCTTGATGTGCTGTGGGCACTACCCTGGTAAAAAGATACCTCAATGATAGAACTCCGGATCAGTGGCAGATGAGGGTTTAAATATCCAGGACTAATGGAATAATCACATGAGCAAGTCCTCACAGCCCCAGGCAGTGTTTGAGCTCTGGCTTGCCTGGGTGTAACTAGGCTATGCTCCTGTTGATAGCAAAGGACACCTGAGAATTAGTTTGGTAACACGTGGCACATCCTCACAAGAACAGAAAGGATGTACCATCCTAAAATACAGTACAGCGCTTATAAAGAAGGTCATCACAAGGTGTCTCTTCAGTGAACAAATCTGAGATGTGTTTAGATCTTCTGGGATCAATTAGTGTTTGTTTGTTGCCTCTCAAAGGGTTGCCATGAGAGTAGAGCAGCACTAGAATCTTGATCAGCTGCTTACGGACAAACTTCACTAACGTTTTTGGGGATAAAATCTCAGACTATTTCTTCAGTGTCACAGAATATATTTTAATGTGTATATATATGTGATTAATTCTCTTAAAACTAAGAAAACCTACTGTACACCTCAGCTTCCCTAGTGGCACTTCATGATATAAGAATAACAGGTGCTGTAAGCTGTCGCAATCCTACTGAGAGAGGCAGCATTAACCAGCAAGAAGCAAACCTCTATGACTGAACTGTGGTGGCTTTGTGGAGTATGCCCTCTGGTAAGTAATTTTCATGATAAACTGAAATTCAGAATCATTCTTATGAAATATAAATTAAGTTATTATTTGTCTTTTTCTTAAAAATGCAGTCTTTTTACTATTATAATTTACTATAAAAACAAAAATAATGAGAATTATAAAACAATAAGTCATCTCTTGAGTTGTTTTGTGTGGAAGGTGTGATGCTCTGTCATAAAAACTTTTCTCCTGAAGAATATACAGTACAGCCCTCTATAAGCACTGGGACAGTAAAAATGGGACAATTGAACATAAAAAGTAATATTCTAAAATGGCACAACCATCTAAAATGGTATAAGCACATAAATACCCAGAAATAAAAGGTGACATTCTGTACTTTTCCCTCATATTAATCTTTTCATCTCGAATTCAATTCACTTGCATACACAGACAAAATAACACTTTTAACTTCCCAGTACTTACAGAGAGCACTGTGTATTCCATATAAAGTCACTTTAGTGAAATTTGTATACATTTTAATAGATTGTTTTAGAGTTCAATTCCTTCTAAGATTTTTCTAAGCTATAGTTTTAAACGGCATCTGAACATGAGATGATGTTTAAAATGGAATGAAAAGGTGATATTTTTTGTAATTCACACTTCTCTCTTTATTCTTATGCATGCAGTGTTTTTAATACAAATACAAAAACAACATAAAGATGCTTTTCATTTTGAAAGTTACTTTGAAGAAGATATGTACTACATTTACTGTATAATAATAACTTATTAAGTTATTATTATTTTAGTTATTAAGAGTTTTGGAGATGACATGGTGAAGTGGTCACTGCTCTGGGGTGACTTCTGTGTGGATCGAGCATGTTCTCTCTGCAACCATGTGGGCCTCTCCTGATGTACGGGTCTCTTCCTACTGTACATTCCAAAGACAGGATTTTTAGGCCAACAGGCATCTCTAACCTGTTCTTTATAAGCTGTGACATGCAGTGCACTTTGAGTGTAACCCTTCTGCTACAGGCTCAAACCTCACCCAACAACCAGCCACCTCACCATTCACATGCACAAAGTGGGCACAAACGCCCACACACACTATAGTCAAGCCATTTTCTCACTTCACAGAATGGATATCACAACAATGTAGGACAAAACAATGCCACAGGACAACAGCCAAAACAAATACAACAATTGTGGTTCTTACAGGTGTTTTACTGGCTTATTTTTTTAGCAAAATAAACCAAAGGTAAGCAGACAGTCAATCACAAGTCCAACAAATACTTGTAAAAGTTGTAAAAACAATGCCAATTAAATAGCCTACATTACTGACAAAAGATCACCCTTATAAGCATTATATTTAATAAAATTAGGTATCATTTCATTATAAACCATTACCTAAGCCATAAGCTACCTTTGGTAGTTTATCTCGCTGAAATGCCAAAGGATTTTCCTGCCTGGCTATTACTAAAAGCTGTCGATGGTTGACCCTGCTGAACAAGACTTAAGTTATCATTGAATGATAGCCTTGAGAAAGGTTTTGCAATCGAAATCACCACAATATTGTCTGTATCTGTACCAAAAATTTCCTTGTGAAGCAAGCTGCTTACATCAAATTCAAAATTTGATTGGACAATTTTACTGTTACCTGCTTAGTATGGTTACATTGCAAGATCCTCCTGGAAAACTAAAGTAGGTCCACAGAGCCACAGATAGCTAGCTTCTCTGTGTCAGCGCCATGTGTCAGCATGTAATCATTATGTTATTGAATAGATAGAAATTGATAGATATTGAACAGAATAGAAAATATGTTTTTTCTTCCTACTTTTTTCCACCCCTTCTCAAAAGGGTTAGGAGGTGCTGACTGCACACCATTGTTTATAAGTGTGTGTGATTGAATTCACAATGCAGTGTGTGACCTGTGATGGACTGTGTCTCATTCAGGAAATGGAACCCTTGTTCCCATTTTCTGGCGTGTTAGACTCCAGTTGACCACAGCCCTGTATCATCTAAACAGTTATTGAAAATGAATAGAACTTGCTTGGAAATTGTTTCTAAGTGGCATTGCAATAATAGATTTTTTAGAGAAAGAAAGGATTAAGGATCCAGTTTAATGCTCCGATGCCTCATTGTGTTGTGAATAGTGTTTAATGAAGATTGAGAACTGAGCATTAAAGGTTAAGTAGTTTAATACTCCAATGTCTCATTGCACTTATTAGAATGAAGATGAGAAATGGGCAAAATGAGTTAATTGAGTTGAATTTCCCAGCGCCTGCTGATTATAACTTTTAAGAAGGGTGTCACGGTGAGAATGTGAGTGAATGTTCCTGGAACTTATTGAACAGTTTTACTCTGCATCTTAAGAAACCTGATGTAACTGCGAAAATACAAAAGTATTAGTGTGAGTTAAGGAACTGAGTAAAAAGCAACCAAACGGCGAATGATGTGTGAGATCGAGGATTATGGATGGAGTCTCAAAGACAAGGACTGAACATTTAAAAAATGGAAGAGTGACATACTCTCAGTGTTGGTCTCCAGAGTGTGCTGGCGTCGTCACAGTCACAGATACAATAGTCATTTACCAGTACTCCAAATGCTGTGTTTCAGTAATGTTGAAACCCAAGATCCTGAGTTACCAGAATCTATGTGAAGTGTGTAAAGTCACTATGTAAAGGAATAAAAAGGTTTCAAATGTTATCTTTCTCTACAATTTACCCTCAACTTATGGTGTGTGTTAATTTTAAGAAATAATCACACATATGACCTGTACCTTTAAAATAATTTCCTTTCAAAATGAATTTCCTCTAGTGATCTATTTTGTTTGTAATCACATCAAAAACTATCAAAGGTCATGTATATATCACCAAGGGGCTGATTTAACATGCACTCCATATATTATTTCATTATTTTAAATACAAGCATAAAATGAATAAAAAAATTATCTTTTCAATTGTAGGTGGCATTTTATAATTGTAGCAGTAGGCATTTCCATACAAGTCCTTTCTTTCCCTAGACAATAGAATGTTAGTGTTATTTAAGCTAAGGAATTCAGAATTACATGTTTATTTGGAATAATTTTACTTCACTTCTGTAGCAGATATCTAAACAATCAATTATACAGTATGTCAGAACATGCCGTGGGTATGTGTGATCAGTCATGCTCTGGATAAGAATCCTTATTCCAAGGTGATTAGACTGTTATTTGTTCACTTCTTATTTGGGTGTGATTCGTGGATAGAGGATTCAGTAGTCCATTTTCTTTTTCTTATTCTTAGTAGTAGCAATATTACAGTCCTTTCTTTCAAACTACATGTAAAAAATATAACTTAAAATTAAGCAAAGTGCAGTAGTTTTTTTAGTGCTCCTTGCATAGCACTAAAATATTATCATGAATCACTTTCATTAGGAACAATATTAGGTTACAATAATCTAATAAATTAATAGACATTAATATTCTGCATTTATTGGTCAGTGTTAATATAGGTACCTCTCCTTCTTGTATTAAACCAAGACCTTTGTTCATATGCATTCCCATGTAATTATGTTTTTTCACAAATTGAAGGTGTATTAAACGAAAAGTTACAGCATTGTTAAGTGATGTATGGAAGTATTTGATTGACTTGGAATAGGTAAACTGAATATCTGTTGTAGTAGTGTGTTGTAGTTATATAGTTGTTAGCATGTTTGTTTGTACACATGAGTATACTGTATACTGGCATACCCCTGAGGGTTTGCTGGAAAGCTAAATATTTCCATGACATTTTTTATGTTAATATCCTGCCTCTTTTTAAAGCATCCAAGTGTCTCTGCTTAGATGCCATCTGCTGGTAAAGTATTGAAATGTCTTCATTCTGAATCCAGTTGTACAGTACATCCATATCTCTTGGCTGTTTTCTGTCACAAGCATAATGTCATATTTGACAGGGCTCAGTTGTCTAATATCAAAGCACTAAATATTTTTCCTTCTTTCCAGATGCTTTATGAAGACCAAGTCGAAGATTTATCACAACCTGCAAAAGACCATTCTTGAGATCTTCAGGGAGGAATTGTTCACAGAGTAATCCACAGTAATCTCACTGGACAGAATATTAAAGTTCATCCACAAGCCCAGTATACAGCAATTCAGAACAACAGAAGATATTGTGAAAGACAAAAATGAGTCAGTCAATGAAGATAAGGTACCTTAAGCTTTGGGTGTGATGCACATTTATTGTTGTTCTATAATATCGCTGTTATTTCCCAATTAAAATTATGCCTTTACAGCTTTAATCAGTTTAATTGGTTAATTTGTTGTAGTAATGGTACTAAACATCACTGTTTTCTAAAAAGTCCGTTATATTCTCAACTAAATGATAACATTATTTTACATATGTTTCCATCTTATTTTTGCTTATTTTAAACATTTCTGCAGATTAACAGTTTTTTATGTTTGAACTGAACCAATGAGCAGGAGTGATAATGCTCTTATGGTTTAATAATTTGAATTACAGTAAATTTGTCTTTGGCACTAAATGAATATCCTATATGGTCAGGATTAACACTTTGCATTCGCAGAGCCAGAGAAATATAATAATTTACAGTATGTCAATATTCAGAGGTCTTACTTTCCTTGCCTTGGTTACACCTACTTGCAAACTCTTCTAATGATATATTACTTGTTTGTGAAAAAGTTATCAGTTCCACATTTGTCTTTCTTAGGCCAACCATTTAGACCAAATCCTACCATGAACCTCGATTCTGTTGTGTGCTAAAATTTTAAATCCCATCTGTCAGCACAATGAGCATTTAATGACAGTTGTAACTCTTATTTTCCTTGCTTTCTAGGCATTGTAGCAGAATCTGGGCGAAGATTTATCGCAACCTGCATGCAATCCTTCTGGTAAGCATCTTTGTTGTAACACTTGCCATCCTACAGAGAGCATTTTTTAGAAGCCAGCCCCTTTTCCCTGAGAAGAATTCAGAAGACAGCCACAAATCCAGTAAGCAAGTTTTTATCCCTAGACAGAAATCCTTCTGGATTGAAAACATTAATAAGTCTGTCACTGAAGATAAGGTGGTCAAAGCTTGGGATGTGATAGATGTCCATTGCTCTGCTAACTCCAGTCTGACCAGGATGCCATGGTTTGCTGAACTAGGGGCAAACATCCAGAAGTTCCTCCTGTACCAACACTGCAGATTCTTCCCAATGCTTTTTAACCACCCAGAGAAGTGTGAAGGGGATGTCTATCTCCTTTTGGTGGTCAAATCCATGATCCTACAGCACAGACGCAGAGAGGCCATCCGCAAAACTTGGGGCCAGGAGAGGGAAGTAAGGGGCAAGAAGGTCAGGCTTGTTTTCCTGCTGGGGGTAACCATCCAAGGGGAAGAACATCCCCATCACCAGAAGCTCCTGGAGTATGAGGACAGGCTTTATGGAGACATCTTGCAGTGGGACTTTGAAGAGTGCTTCTACAACCTCACCCTTAAGGAGGTCAACTTCCTCAAGTGGTTTTCCATCTACTGCCCTAGTGTGCCATTCATCTTCAAGGGAGATGATGACATCTTTGTCCACACTGGAAACATAATTGAATTTCTGGAAAGTAGTGGTGGCATGCTTGACCTTTTTGTAGGAGCACTCCTCTCCACCTCTCTACCGATCAGAGAGAAAAATAGCAAATACTTTATCCCACCTGAGATCTTTAATGGGACCTTTTACCCCCCATATGTCAGTGGAGGGGGATTCCTCATGGCTGGCCCCCTGGCTATGAAGATGCACATTGCTTCTGAAAACATGGACCTCTTTCCCATTGATGATGTTTTTCTGGGGATGTGCTTGAAAGTGCTCCATGTGAGTCCCAAACCACACAGCGGCATCAAAACGTGGGGAGTCCAGGAGCCTGGCAAAGAGAAGATGATTAGCAGAGACCCCTGTTTTTTTCAGAATCTACTGGTTGTCCATAAGTTGACTCCAGGAGAGTTGATTCTAATGTGGAAATTAGTGACCAGTGATCTCATCTGCACACGAGTCAGAAAATTAGGTAGTGGTCTGAGGGCATCAACTCGCATTAACTAAGTGTACTTTGATAAAAGAAAACACAAAGACTGCAATATAGTTAAAATATAATCTGAACACATGTCAGAAAGATTAGATAAGATATAGATAATGATATAGATATAGATCTATAGGCAGGATGAACTCTGCACCCTCAAAATAAAAGCCTTTTGAATAAAAGAACTAATACTATATCAATAGGATTAGACTCTCTTCAAGTGCCATATAACAATTTCAAACTGTCCTCACATCTTTTGTAAACAGGACCAATCATAAGACCCAAGTAACAAAACACAATATTGCATCTAAGCACTTCTACATTTGTCCCATGCAGGTAGCTCTGACTGAATAACTTCAGTGTTCTTCCCTGGCTCTAGGATATATCAGTTAACTCTTATTGAATGATGTTAGGACATTATATAGTTGCACTAGAGAGGTGTGCCAAATCAATAGTCAAAGAGGATTTAAATATAATCAAATTATTTATATCTATTTTTGTAAACACTGAACCAGTTCAGAAAATCCCCTTTCTCTTCTCACAGGCATACCAAGCCAGGCAGCTTCTCAGATACACAAGCATTTCCAGTCTTGCATTTCAGAGTTTGATACATTTTTCTCAGGTAAAGTCCTACTTTTGTAATAAAGGAGGACATTTTAAGTCTTAGCATAACCCACTTTCTACATCCAGTGTCCATAAACATCTACACCTCATCTCAAACTTTTCACCTTGTGTTGCCTTATACCATGGAATTAAATACATTAATCTACAAATCATTCCAAATAAATATTCTAATTTTTTAGGAAGATTTGCATAAATCAACCCCAATCACCCTCAAAATCACAGACCAAGCTAGTTGGCCTCCACCTGTGTTAACTTGTAGTGATTCACATTATTTCAGAAACAGCAGTGTGTTTCAAAGCAATTATAGAACGATGAACTTTCCAAAGAATTTCAGAACAAAGGCACAGGATATAAACAATATTTAAAGGTCCAACTCTTGGAGCACACTCAGGATGATATGGTACTGGTAGGTATATGGCACCACTAAGATTCTATCTGGTCTGTATTTTAGTAAGAAAAAGCCGTTTCTGGGAAAAAAAAAACAGCCAAAAGGCATTTAATTGGTACCACAAATACAGTATGTGGCAAATGTTTGAGGTTCAACAAAACTAAAATATATTTTCTTGTCCTGAATGAGTTTATATTTAGAGCCAAGAAACCCAAGAAAAGACATCACCAAAAGAACACAATTCCTACTGTGAGCATGGTGGTGTCATTATCATGTTATGGGGATGTTTCACATTGTCAGGAACTGGAACTCTTGCCAGGAGAGAAAGGAAAGATGAAGGGAGCCTTTCAGCAGACAATGATCCAAAACTACACTGGAGTGAAGCCCTGATCTAAATCCAATTTAAAACTTGTAACTTGAAGACTGCTGTCCTTGAATGCTTCCAAGGAATTTGACAGTTAGAAAAAATATCAAGTCAGCTCTAATGGCTGTCAAATTTACACATTCACATTTTTTTTGAATGGGCACCATAAGTGCACTCCAATCCAATTGCTGTTATGATTGTTCAATGATGCCATTGTCCTCCATCCTGTGGATGTTCCGAAGTAGTAGTGAGGACCCTATGCAGAAACCAGGATGATATCCAGAGGCGTAGTCGAGTGAACCTAGAGAAAAATAAAGACCACCAAGCTTGCCTGGGACAAAGACGTTTAACCGGCTGAAGGTAAGAAAGGTTCTTATGGTCAGTGAGAATGAGAAAAGAGTGTTGTGCCCCCTCCAACCAGTGTCTCCATTGTTCAAGTGCCAGTTTGATGGCTAGGAGTTTGCAATCTCCAACATCGTAGTTCATTTCAGTCACAGTCAACTTCTTAGAAAAAAAAGGATGTAAGATGCCTTTGTCCCCATGTGGCCTGAGGTGTCAATCTCAACAGCAAAAGGAAGGGTGGGATCTGGGTTGTTAGAAGAGAAGCAGAGGTAAAAAAGCCTTTTAAGCATCAGAAAGCGCCGTTGGCTTGAGGGGTCCATTTACCCTGTTGTGGGCCCTGCATTGTACGTTGTACTTGTCTTAGGTTCTTCAGGGTTGGCCAATCCGTAATAAAACAGATCTTACTTTGGTCCATCGTGACCCCTTGCGTGGACAAGATATAGCCCAGGAATTGGATCTCAGACACATGAAAAATGCATTTTTCCTTCTTAAAATAGAGTTTGTGACGAATCAGACGAGACAGGACCTCTCTTACATGAGAGATATGTTCCTGAAGGTTAGTGAAAAAAATCAAGATATGTCAAAAAATATACAAGGAGGCATTTCTGAATGAGATCTGAAATATTCTGAAATATTATTCATAAATGACTGAAAGACTGTAGGTGCATTCACAAGACATTCATAATGCCCATGAGTTGTTAGAAAAGCAGTCTCCCACTCATCCACCTCCCGTATTCTAATTAGATTGTATGCCATCCCAGGGATCAAGCTTGGTAAAAATTGTAGCACCCCAAACAGATTCTAAGGCTGAAGGAATGAGTGGGAGGAGATAGCAGTCCTTGACTGTGATGGCATTTAGGCCTCGATAATCAATGCAGGGATGGAGGCCACCGTCCTTCTTCCCTACAAAAACAAATCCTTCACAACCCGAAGAGTAAGAGGGGTGTATGAAGCCCGCCTTAAGTGCTTCCTGGATGTTTTCTTTCCCCATGTGAAAGGAGGTACCTTCTCCCCTTTGGGGCCAAAATACTTGGTAGGAGATCGATGACACAATCACAAGACCTGTGGGGAGGCAGGAACAATGCCTTTTGTTTGCTAAAGGCTTCAGATAGATCAGCTTAAAATGCAGGAATTTCAGTAGAGCTGCCTTGAGAGGTTTTTAATGGGACGGCAACAACACGATGTTAAACACTGAGGGTCCCAAGCTAGCAACTCACCCCTAGACAAAAAATCTGAGGATCAGGCTTTGGTAACTAGGGGAACCCCAAGACCAGAGGGTGGTGTGGTGTTTCCAGGATGTAAAGTTGTATAAGTTCCTGATGAAGGGCTCCGACTTGTAAAGATAATGGTGAGGTCTGCCAGCTAATGACACCCGGAGAAATAGGGGATCCATCGAGGGTCTGAACATGAAGAGGAGGTTGAACGGGGATTAAGGGAATCTTCCAAGGAGAGGTCTAGGAAATTTCCAGCGGCCCCTGAATCAATAAAAGCGAGAAGGTTAAGTTTAGACGAGCCCCAGGAGAGGGAAGCAGGAACAGACAAGCCATTAGTAGAGATAGCTAAATGTTTACTGCGTCTCGCCTGCAGACTGGGTTTAAACCGGGGGGGCCGTGGAGGGCGGGAGGGACAGTCCAAACGGTAATGTCCTAGATGACCACAATAAAGACAACAATCCTCCTGAAAGCTCTTCTCCTTCTACTGCGAAGTGAGGCATCCGGGGGTGGGGGTTGGACTGAGGGGGTGGGAGTGGGAAGTGAAGTAGTTGCAGAAAGGTTCTGTTCGTCTCTGTAGTCCTCTTCCACGAAACCTGTCATCCAATTTGATCACTAAGGAAATCACTTCCTTGAAAGACTTTCCATTAAGAGGCAAGAGAAACAGATTGTCTTAAATTTCTTCCGAGAGCCCTTGCATAAAAAGGGAGATCAAAGCCTCATCCGCAATATCCCGGAATTCTGGTCTGGAAGGTGCATCCTGATATGGGGAGGGGTGGTGAAATACCGTTCTTAAGATCTCTTGAAAAAGATTAAAATCTGAAATTTCAGGACCTTGTCGTTCTAAGAGCACAGTTGCCCATTCAAGAGCTCTTCCAGAAAAAAGGGAGACAATAAAAGCTACCTTAGCTGAGGAGGAAGAAAATTCTTCCTGATGTAGATGAAATACCAGGAAGCACTTAGCTAAAAAGCGCCTAAACTTGCTAGGATTTCTGTCAAACCTCTCCGGGGTGGTAAATGGTGTTACTCGGGAAGAATGGGAAACCCGGGGGGAGGCGCAAACATGCCCTGCTGCCACTGCTGCTGCCTCTGCTGGGGCTGGTGCCTCTGCTGCTGCTTCCGCTTCTGCAGGCTGTGTTGACATCTCCAGCAGCCATATCACCCTGCAACTCATAACTGGCAACCCACTGACACTAAGCAGGTGTGAGCCTGGTCAGTACCTGGATGGGAGACCTCCTGGGAAAAACTAAGGTTGCTGCTGGAAGAGGTGTTAGTGGGGCCAGCAGGGGGTGCTCACCTTGCAGTCCATGTGGGTCCTAATGCCCCTGTATAGGGACACTATACTGTAAACAGGCGCCGTCCTTCGGATGAGATGTAAAACTGAGGTCCTGACTCTCCGTCATCATTAAAAATCCCAGGGCGCTTCTCTGGGTGGTGGAGGGGAGTCCCCATTACCTGTAAAGCAATTTGAGTGGAGTGTCCAGAAAAGCGCTATATAAGTGTAAGTAATTATTATTATATTAGCCAGGTGAGCAGTGATCTGCTGGATTGATGCCTGCAGCTGAGTCAACATGTGGGAATGTTGTGAGAGAATGCCGTGAATCTCTTCACCTTCTGCAGGGTCCATGTTTAGTATTTTGTTAAGAAGTAGTAGTGAGGACCCTATGCAGAAACCAGAACGAGTGAGCAATCCGAGGTCCGTAAGCTGTAGGTAATAAGGCCGGGCAAAAGTACAACACTAGAAGTAACTGTAAGCTCTGAGGAAGCCGAGAGTCAAAACCAGTACTATCAGTATAATGCCAAAACTGAACCAGGAAGCCAATAAATAGAAAGTTACAACGATAGAAAGAGTAGTTCTAGCCAGGATAAACCTAATACTGAGCAGCGAGAAGTGTATAAAGCAGCCTTAAATAGGCTGAGGTAAATTGGCTAATTAGGAACCGGCTGGAATGCGAGTTGGAATGACGAGTCCTCTGGGGGCGTGGAGTAACAGTGGAGCTTCTGCTTAACCTTCTGCATTAGCACTAAGGGAACTCTGCATGCTGTGTGTACTGCATGAGGTTGTGCTTTCTCTTTTAAATGAATTTTCACAGGCTCTGTTTTGTGCCGTGCTCTCCAAATGCATTGTTGACTTCTTCAATCCTTCTCACAATGCCCATTTGAGCTGCTGCAGACCTTCTGAATAAGTTGTTCATGCTGTGTCCCCGAATAACATAAACTGGGAAAGAGTAAAGATTATTCTTGTACTGCGTGTGGACCTTGAAGTTCTCAAAAAATCTAGTTGACCCCCAGACTGCTGCAAAGTTCTCTGCTCTGCCCCCAAAGCTCTGGAGAGCTCCTTAAGGATATAGGATATCAGATAGTCACCTACCTGAGCTCTTTTAAACTCAAGACTCAAAACTTTCTTCTTTAGAAGGGCTTCTATTTAACTAGTTTGGTTTCTGTGCCTTTGTTTTCCTTCTGTATTCCAAAACCTTATTGTAATTGTGTAATTGCACTGTTTCCTCTCACTGTTTCCTTTTTATTATTTTTTACTGTAAAGCATTTGGAGAAGCCACTTTCAAAAGTGCTATATAAAATTAAAGTTTATTATTATTTATTATTAGTTTATAGAAGACACTGGGGAATTCAAGCAAGTCAAAATTAACATTGCCTATAATATTAAAAAACCTCTCTATAACTATTTTGATGCTTGGGACTAGACTGGGGAGTTGGTGTTTTTTGACTGACTTACAGAAAAATTAACTAGGGAGCAACAGAACAAAGCGAGCATGGAGGCCAGAGAGATACTGACATAAAGGAAGAATTTTACACAGGTCAGGAAAAGTATAAGTGTAAATTAATGTGTTTTTTAAGTTCCTTAAACACAGAACCATATGGAAACCCGTTTCCACAAGGGAGTAAAAAAAAACGCGCTATGGTATCTTAGAATTCCGACTTAGTAACTCAGAATTGTGATTTAGCATCTCAGAATTCCGACTTAGTATCTCAGAATTGCGACTTTATATCTCACATTTGCAACTTCGAAATAGCCCATATTTCATTGTGTGTCCTTTTGTTATTGCAACGGATTCGGGTTCTAGGGCTTGTGCTCTCGCCGCTCCCACCCTAGTTCATGCCTCACTGCATTGGCTCGAACCCAGGTCTTGCCAGCTGAGCTAAAGAAGACCTTCTTTTTTAAGTAAAAAAGGAC